CACTTTTTGTTCGTATGTTCAAGCTTTTGCTTGGATTTTGTTTCGTATTTGTTAGTTTCCATAATGGAATTTGTTGGAGAAGGCGTTTGAGGAAATTTCAAGTTTGAAGACTTTTGGATTTTTTGAGTCTAGGTGGAGATCAGTTTCGAAAGAATTTGGTGAACGTTTGCGTTTGTATTTTGGTATCCCAAATTTGGAAGTTTGCTAATTTCTCGCCGAGGTGGAGATTGTTGGGTTTTTGGCTCAAAATTAGGATGATGCAATAAATTAGGTTTGTGTTACCTATTTGGTTTTGGTGTCCTATTTGGGTTTGGTTTTGACTTTTTAGTTAGTTTCCTTGGTAGAGAGATTTTGTTAATTACCTATTTGATTAGGATTTAGATTTATTTCCTATTAGGATTCATATTGTAACCTAAGTCCTATGCACTATAAATAGTACCTTAGGGTTAGTGTATTTTGTGTGCCTCATCATGGTTTAGAAAGCTTTTCTCTATTTTGGTTTTGGGTGGAGGTCACCGTTTGGAGTCATGAGTGTGTGGCAAATTTGTGGCTCATTCGTTTGGCAAATTTGGTGAGAGTCAATTTGTGAGTTTGTGAGTTAGAGAGCAATTTGGGAGAATCTTTTTCGTTTGTTTGAGTTCTCTACTCATTTGGTTTAGGGTTTGTAATTTGTGGGATTTGGGTTGTGAGAGTTTAAACACTCTTTTGTAATCTCCGTTTGTTTAGTGAAATTCCTCGTCGTGCTTCGCCTGTGGAGTAGGCTTTACGCCGAACCACGTAAATCTCTTGTGTCAGTTTGAGATTGTTTGTTTTAGTTTTCACCTACGACATTGATATTTGGTACTTTGTTATAATTCGCTTCCGTTTGCGCGTAAAAGTACAACACTGATCACTTTCTGATTTGGTCCTATTAAAAAATGTCACGTGTTAATTATTTTTTAAAGTACAATCATGCTGTGGAAAAGTATGATTGTGTATTTATATGAAATATTCAAAATTTTCTTCTATTTTTCTGTATTTTTCAAATTTTAACATTATTTTCTAAACAAATTAATATGGACCGTTGGATGCAATTTTTTTTTTGCAATCCAACAGCCCATGTTGTGCCACGTGGGCAAAACGGCTAGTAGGATTTTTTTTATTTTTTATTATTATTTTTAAATTATCTTTGCAAATGACAGCTTAATATGGACTATGGGATTATAGGACAGTTAGAAATTCAATGGTCCACATCTCGCCACGTGTACTAGTCATTGGATTAGAAATCAAAATTTTATATTACCGTTGAAAATCTTTTAGATGTATACAGGCAATGTCATCCATACAGAATTTACGCTGAGTGCACTGCAAGTTGGTCGCATCGGCCTTTTTTGTTTGCCAAAGTGCCACCCACATCCTCGTATTATGCACTCGCCTCACGCAAAAAATTTAAAACGTGGCTGACATCACACAACACTTAGGTGTAGAGTTCGGTAGAAATTGCCTGACTAGCCCATCGAGCTAATTTGGGTCCACCATTTGCCTGACTTTTTGGGCTAAGATGGAGATGATATTTTGGATTTTGAGACAATAATTGCCCAATTGCCAAGGCAATCGGGTATGATGGACTTGCTCTAAATGAAATTATTAAGGATGATGTTAGGGAAACCAAACTTTTAAATCAAATTTGAAAACTAAATGACGTGTCACCAATAGAAAATAAGTACGTTAATCAACACTTAAGTAATAATCCAATCATAAACATCCACATCCATATTATTTAGTTTATAAAATTTGATTTAGAAATTTAGTCTCCTTAGTATTATCCATTTATTAATAACAAATTAACTTGTCAATTTGCAAGGGTATAACATGTTTTAATACTCATGGCCCAATTCAATAGCCCAATACCCAAACCAAGGAAATATATATGGCACCCATGACACCCGTGGTATTCACTCTTCAAATACCTTAGGTACCGTTTGATACGTGGGATGAGATGGAATACAGTGGGATGGGACACACTCATCCCACGTTTGGTGCACCAATTTGCCTGGAACGTGTTGTCCCATGGAACGGATTTTAGTCAATTTTTTGTGCCACCCTCCTCCCTGGAACGATTTGTTTCAGCCCATGGAACACAAAATTATAACTTTTTGGAGAACAATACCCCTCCCATTTTTCATTAATTTCACTATCTACCATCTCTATCTCGTAGCCTCCCTTTCTTCTACCCTCCCTCTCTCCTGTAACCTCCTTCTCCTACACCACAAACCCAGCAACCCAGACTAACCCAATCCCAATAAACCCATTTGAACCCAACCCCACCTTTCTCTCGCCGCCTCCCTCATCCCTACTAGTCCCACAACGAGACCGTCGCCCCCATCGCGAAAACCTCAAGACCACCCACTTGCAAGACGTTGCCGACGCCGTCACTCGAGGGATGGGACCACAAAGATTAGGCGGAAGATGTGAAGGATAATGTTGAACTCATCGGCGGTGGCTCAAGTAAGGTTGAACTTGTCGGAGTGGATGTGTGAAATCTCATTCCTGGATTTCATTATTATAATCCAAGTATTAGTATTATTGAGTTTTTATATTATTTTTTGGGAAATTAATTATTTAAAATACGTAGACCATTCGAGGTCACAATTTATATTGTTGATTAGATTTCGAGATCATGAACGCATAGGCGAAAGCCGTTTGCGAGTTCGGGTTATAACGGTATAGTTACAGACGTTTGAAGTTGTGATACTATAGATTTTAGGAATTATTTAGACTCCTACTTTGTGGGAAAGAGGACGAATTGGGAGGAAGGAGAGACAACCTATCAGGAAAAGAAGAAAAAAATAAAATAAAAGAAAAACTGCCTGATGGCAGCGGAAAAAGGAAGAAAAAAAAAGAAGAGACGGATTAGACGCTGCCAGAGACCAGCAAGAAGAGGGGAAAAAAGAAAGAAAAAATAAAAATGGGGGATTGCGGGAGAGAAAGAAAGGAGGAAAAAAAAGGGGGAGGAATCAGAGGGCAAATCAGGGAGAAATTGTCAAATCCCAGCCTGGGATGGACCACTTCCCGGGCCATCTCCACCACCGTAGCACGATATTGTCCGCTTTGAGCTTACCATTCCCTCATGGTTTTGTTTTTAGGAACTCACGAGCAACTTCCCATTAGATCACTCATCCTGGAAGTGCTCTAGCCTCTTTCTCGCTTAACTTCGGAGTTCCTACAGAACCCGAAGTCATTGGGCTCCCAAAAGGCCTCATACTAGGTAGAGATGTGAATATACATTTAAGGATTACTCCCCTGGGTGATGTGGGATGTTACAGGATGGGTACGATTGTTGTTTATGTTGGAACCCTATGTTTGTCCCGCATCGGCTAGGGGAAGGAAAGCAAAGCAATTTAAATAGAATTACCCCACTCTAACTAATATCGAGGTCTTTTGTGATAAAACCGCTCACCTGAGGATTGTGCAGGTGGTTAAGTGGAGACAGTATCGGTGTTGTTGGAGTGGGCCCTTGACCTATCGACCTAAAAAATTCCACATGGTATCAAAGCCAGGAGGCGGGCCTGTACAACCACGTGATTGGGTGGGTCCCCATTTGGCCCCGCGCAATGGGTGAGCCCCGACATGGCTTCACGTAGGCCAAAGATGCCGCGTGATTGGATGGGTCCCCATTGACCCCGCGTGATGGGTGAGTCCCGACATGGCTCCACGTAGGCCAAAGATGCCACGTGATTAGGTGGGTCCCCATTGACCCCGTGTGATGGGAGAGTCCTAACATGGCTCTGCGTGGTTGCCGATGTGGATTTTCACGTGTGACCCATAAATGGGGTGTCACGTGCGTGGGGGGGGGGTGTTGGAACCCCTTATTTGTCCCACATCGGCTATGGGAAGGAAAGCAAAGCAATTTAAATAAAATTACCCCACTCTAACAAATATCGAGACATTTTGTGATAAAACCCCACACATGAGGATTGTGCAGATGGTTAAGTGGGGACAATATCTGTGTTGTTGGAGTGGGCCCTCGGCCTGTCGACTTGAAAAATTCCACAGTTTAATCCTTCGTTCCATTACAGCCTGAGCGTACACCAAACGTAGCATGGAACCTTTGTTTCGTTCCGTCCCGTCTGCGTACCAAACACAATGGCGTAGCCACCCACAAGGCTAAGGTGGGCTGTAGCCCAGGGAGGTTTTCTGTAAGAGTAGTATTATTTATGCACTCATTTTTACTTCTCATATACCTTTCTTAATTTTCGGTTGTTCAAATTGAATGAGTTGGAGATGATCATTGACAAATAATTAATAAGGCTGTGTTGGAAGTAAAAATGGGTTTGCGAATATAACTATTCTTTTGTAAAATTATGTTTATAGCTTACCCAATTTCAATAGAGATTATTATTTAATGTATATTTTATAGAGGATAGGTAATAAATAATACGTTTTATGCTAAAAATTATAAATTAGTTCTATCTCCAGCCCCTCTTTATCATATTCTTTAAAGAAAAAGACCATTTACCCTATGTAATTTAATTTGTGCTTATTACTCAAGAAAAGAAAAATAATTTCTTTAAATCCATAATTAAATTCTTATCTCCGCAATTCCTTAATTTCCGTTGCGATTTTCCAATAAATGTCACCTTTGGTACTTTCTTAATCTCTATATTTACTTATTCTTGATTTAATTAGTAGGTTAATTATTTATATGGTCCATGAATTTATCGGTTAGGGTTATGATTTTGAGAATAATTTATATTATATTGTTGTTCTTTTATATTGATTATTATATAAGTTTATATAAGCAAAAAATAAACCTATGATTTTATAGTACTATTTTCAATTAGCCCACCCAAAGAAAAAATCCTGGCTCCGCCCTTAAACAAACGGTACGTAATACCAGTAAAAGGATCCCCGATCGAATAAGAAATTGTAGAGTTAGGGAGACTTCCTGGCTTAGTGATCAAATTGATCCACGTCAAGCTTTTTAGTTGCTTCATCAAAATTGTTCCAACCAAACGCAAATGGCAGCTGATAGCATATTTGGTTAGCCATTCAGGCGCCTCCTCTGGAGCCCTCCGATTTTCCGAGAATGGTCCGGATCAACGGCCCTCATGGACTGGTTTGAATCCCCTAATTCCCCCATAATCAAGGTCAATGTTCCAGGTACTATCACTAATTCTCTCTTTATTTCCCTAATCAAATATTAATAGGGTTTATAAGTTATTCATCTCTGCCCCTGAATTTTTTATTATTTGGAATTAAAACTTTTGTGTAAGATATGGATTCTTTGCTCCCATTATACTGTAAGTTTAATTTGGGTTCTTAGTGAAAACTACACTTAATATGTCACCTTGACATCTTGTATCAATAATGTCATGTAGAAAAGTTGAAATATATGACATGGCTTTTGGTCAAATGTCACGGTGACCTTCTAGAGTTAAAGAATGAATAACACTTAGAAAAGTTGAAATACATGTCATCACTTTGTTGGTTAGATGAAGTTTTGTTCCTTGAATTAAAAATTGTGACTAGTAATCTCTGAATTTGTCACAATATAGAACAAAACAACGGTCTTTTTAAACAATATCATAATACTCGCTGATTTTTCTTTCAAAGACAAAAGCTCTAATTTGACTAAAATTTAGGACCAATTCTCCAAAATCTTTTAGGAGTGAACCATTTATTTTCACTAGGAAAAGTGGGTTCAACGATTCACGGTTGTGACAGAGATTTTGTGGCAAAATAGGTTTTAGAAAAGAGGACATAAAAGGGCAGATAGAAGAAGGGAATATTTTGCAGATGAAAGGGGAAGGCGGGAAAGAAAGAGAGGAGGCTCATGCAGCAAAATACACTGTTTGGAACGTCGCGGAGAGGGGGACGGGAAAAGGAGACTTTTCCCGGGAAATCGCATTGCCGGAAAATGTGAAAGTCGATCAGATAAAAGCTCAGGTTGAGAATGGTGTTCTCACCATTGTTGTCCCAAAAGATACGACCCCCAAAACCATCCAAAGTGCGAAACATCAATATCACTAGCAAGCTCTAAGCATATGCATATGTAGGTGTTGTCATATGGTTCAAAAATAATGGTTTGAATGTGTAATGTATTGTGCTACAACCTATAACGAAAAGTATAATATATGTACTGTAGTTAGTAATAAATCCGTGTTTTATACAAGCGATATTTGAGATGGGGGAATAAATAGCTCGTGTGAATCAAGTTCAAACGCAAAGCAACCAAGTGAAGCAAATTCTAAGTGCCAAGCCATGCATGTCCCAAGCTAAGAGTGAGAAATATTTAGAAACTTTGATTAGGTCAATAAATAATTTCACATTTCGGCAGAGCTGGTTGGTGGTATTTTATTTTCTAGCACTGGTTAGCCGGAATTATTGTACTCTTCAACTATTTCCAATAAAAACATGTCTCCTCTCCAACTAAGAACAATAAAAGAGCTCTTTTTTGAATTCTCCTCCAACCATATATGTCTAAATATTGTCATGTATGAGAGATATTTTCACATGCTTAAAATACAAGTCGGTACGTTACCTATCATAATGTTTTTCAATGTCGTGTCACTTGTATTAGTCCTTGGTGTATCATATTGCATTCTAAATCGCTGAAGAATCTATCGTCATAAGATTTTAATTTCATGAAGTGCTCGTTCGAATTAGATATGGCCTTGAAAAAATAAACATGGACTTGAATTAAATATGTTCAATTTCATGAAAAGTAAAAAAATAATTATTTTTGTTCACTACAGTAAAACATCATCTAAAATTATATTTTTTAAATTCTTAAAGTTACATAAATCTAACAACGGTGTATTTATTCGACGAGATAAAATATATTTACATTAGGTGATGAGATAATAAATTAGTCTCAAACTCATAATAGTGAGATTTAAACTATTTTCTTTTTTATGATATTCTATGGTAATCTCCACTAAAGAGAGTGTAAGCGCTTGAACTTGAAAAACACTAAGTTAAAGAGAAAAACCATAATTCAAATTATTTTCTTTGTTTGAGAGAGCACTTCCACCATAATACATGTAAAAGAGGTTGTTCTATAATCAAATCATGTCGAGCATAAACACAAAAAGATGTAGTATCATATGAATTATTCCGAAACAAAAAATACATTATATAAAAGTATGAACTGGTTCTAATAGGCATGTGACGTGTGACTTGGTTGGTTGGCCTTTTTGGGGTTTTATTTGTTTAATTTTTTGGGTTATTTTTTTTATTTTTTATATATTGACCAAAACGATTAGGGTATTAATAATTAAAAAAAAAGTCTCTCATAATTTCAGATTTGATTTGGCTCAAACATTCCAAAAATCCCATTACCTATACCGTATATTTCCAATAAATGACCGTTATATACAAAGTAAAAGCAAAATCTTTTTACAAACAAAAACGATTTCAAATTATCAAAAAATCCAATCAATTTGAGAACTTGAAGGTGTTATGTAATCAATTATTCCTTACACAATTTCTTTTTTAGCTAAATGATTTTTTTAAGGTATTAATTTAAAGACATCCTTTCTCTCTGTAGCCCATAATTATATAGACCGTTAAATTAAATGAATAAAAAGAAAATCAACCGATATAAACAAATTAGACACATAAATAGAGAAGAAAAAAAATTGGTAAAAATCAATTTCCTTTCATTGTCTATGACAAATAGTTTGACGTACCTTAATACACTTCCTAATTGGCCGTATCCATTTTCTTATTGACAAAGGTAAGTCCATCCAAGTCATGGCATGATATGCTCCCAAATTTCAACCCAGCATTTAATGCACACTCAAAAATTATAAGTTTTTTATAGTCAAAATGGTATTTGAGACTAGAATAACTTGTCATTTTGATCTATGAGATCTAAAATCAAGAGAAGTTGTTAATGAAATTGTGCACCGTCAATCATTTTGGTCATTTTGTAAAAAATCTCAATTAAATTGATAGTATTTTGTCAAATTAACCCCTTCATTTAAACTAGTGGTTTCTTTACGGAGATTTTTCATAGAAGAACCAAATTAATCGACGGTGGACAATTTCAGGTATTGTTTTTATATCTCAGGTATCAATTTTAAATCTTAGGAACCTGACAATCTAATAGACCATTTGACTAAAAAAATCAAAACTATATAATAAGAGGTGTGTGAGATACATATCTTTTATTAATTTTATCATTTGATATTTTTTAATTTATTTAATCCGACGATCGTAGATTAAATAGGTACGTTAAAAGAAAAAAAAAATATATATAGCACATCCGCATAATAAATTCACATATACATTTTGAAGACTTGAAGACCGTCCTAATGTTTAATGGGTCCCATTCCGAAGCTTCCTTTGTGTTGATGATTGGCTCTTAACCTTCCCCAAAACCCCAAAATTTTCAACCATTCCCACACGTACTTTAATGTTTCAGAAGAAAAAAGTCAGTGGCTGCATTATAACTATTTACACCTGCACGTACAGAATCGGTCGCGTTTTAAACGCCATTTCTGAATTTCCGGTGCGCTTAATTCAAACGCAACAACCTCAGTGTCCTCTCAAGTTCTCAACCTTCCCCCTCCTTCCTTCAATTTTCTCTCGTTTTCTCTCACTTTCTCGCCAGCCAAACAGACACTACAGAACCAAATTCGAGTTCAACTCACAAGACGGATGAAACCCATTTCGTAACGCGCCCCGAAGAACAAAACCCACCTCTGTTTTTCGCCATTGGAGTTGAACAAATGAAGCCCCCGAAGCTGATTTCGTTACTGGTATGTTGGCTTGGTGTTTTCCTGACTGCGAATTCTGATCTGGCGTCCGACAGAGAGGCCTTGCTGGCGCTCAGGACCGCTGTGAGAGGCCGTACAATGGGTTGGAACGTGACGGAGACCAACCCCTGTTCGTGGCCCGGCGTCAAATGCGAGTCGGACCGGGTCACCGAGTTGAGGCTTCCGGGTCGGAAACTCGTCGGGCAGCTCCCTCTGGGCCTCGGGAACTTGACACAGCTCTTGAGCCTCTCTCTGCGCGTAAATGCGCTCTCCGGTCCACTCCCGAACGACCTTGTCAACCTAGTCAACCTTCAGAATCTCTACTTGCAAGGTAACTCGTTTTCCGGTCCAATTCCTGAGTTTTTGTTCAAATTGAAAAACCTTACGAGATTGAACCTTGATAAAAATAAATTCTCCGGTGAAATTTCTCCGGGGTTTAATAATTTGATGAGTTTGGTAAGTCTGCATTTGGAAGAAAATGAGCTTACTGGGTCAATTCCTGAGCTGGGTTTGCCGTCTCTGGGACAATTCAACGTTTCCTTTAACCAGTTGAACGGGTCGGTCCCAGCGAAGCTTTCACGTTGGCCCAAAACCGCGTTTGAGGGGAATTTGCTCTGTGGGAAGCCGTTGAAGCCCTGTAATGAGACTGAGAGTGCTGGGAAGAAGAATAAGTTGGCTGGTGGGGCAATTGCAGGGATTGTGATTGGTAGTATTATTGGGTTCTTGGTGTTTGTTGCCATTGTGATATTTTTGTGTAAAAGAAAGAAAAATGGCGAAAAAGGTACAAACTTTGTCGTGACAGGGAAACCTCAGGAGGCTGAAACCGCCCGTGAAAGGGCGGTGATGGATAGGAGTTTGAGTACTGGTTCCTCATCTGCACCGAAAGGGACTGTGAAGAGTGGTGATGGGAATAAGAGTTTAGTGTTCTTCGGGGATGCGGTGAGGGTGTTTGATTTGGAGGATTTGTTGAGGGCATCTGCTGAGGTACTTGGAAAGGGGACTTTTGGGACTACGTACAAGGCCGCTTTGGATATGCGGGTGTCAATGGCAGTGAAGAGGTTGAAGGAAGTGGCTGTATCAGAGAAGGAATTCAGGGAGAAGATTGAAGAGATTGGGAGAATGGATCATGTAAATTTGGTCCCACTCAGGGCTTACTACTATAGCAGGGATGAGAAGCTTCTTGTGTATGATTACATGCCTATGGGAAGCTTATCTGCTCTTTTGCACGGTGAGCATTTCTTTCTGGGATTCCATTAGTTGCATTATGATTTGTAGCTATTATTTTTGTTGGTATTTTCCCGTTCGTTTTTCTGTAAATGGTTTCTGTTGGTATATGATGTTAATTGAGTTTTTCTTGATTGTGTTTCTCCGTTGGATGGATTTTTGGTACATTTCCTATGTCAACTGCATTGTCGTTTTGTTGTCACATCTTTGGAATTGGACTAGAGATGTGGAAGCCTTTTGTTTGTCATCGCTTGCTATACATATCAATACATATTGAAAAAGACACGGAATAAATAATAGATCGTACTGAATCTCGTCCGAGAGCAACTAGGATTGTGACCCATCAGAGCTGTTTCTGTTACATGGATGAAGCAAAATGTGAGTTCCTAAGAAAGTATTAAGCTACATAGGCATAAGAAGGATGTCTTTATTTGATTACTGGTCCCTTGTATTGGATAAGAGATGTGGCATTTAGTCCCATATGCTAGCAGAACTTACATAGACCAGGTGCAAAGACATGCTGGAAGCTTCTGAGCTTTGACGTACTTGAAGCAGTTTCTATCTTTTATTTTTTAATCCATTATTCGTTGGCAATAAATCACATTGGATGAGTCAATCATTAAGTTTTTATTTATTTCCTGAAAGCAAGAAGCATCTTTCGTAATTCTGTGTGTGTGTGTGACTGATTTGTGCATATGCAGTGCATAATGTTTTTATTGTCTTTTTGGTAGGAAACAACTGGTATGCCAGTTCAATTCAGTTTTTGGCACCTTTGTTATTGTTTATATTGATGATGTATTGGTGCTCTTAGCTCATTTGTTAGTATAATATGATATTTTATTTAATGTTTCTGTTAAGTAATTAGCAAATATTGGTCAAATTTTAATAATGCTAGCAGTCTCACACCAAACGCCAATGTCGTGTTCTTCAACAGTGCTAAAATTCAAAAACCCACATCGAAAGTTGGAAAACAACAATGTTGCTGGACCTCTTTGTTCTCTTTGTTCACCATCTTTCTGTTAGCATTTCATTTATTTATCTTTTCACTACAGGA